TGCGCTTTTTACGCGATGCCAATGTCCCGGCTGCTGGCAGTGCCACTGTCACCTCTCTCTTTCTGCGTTGTGGTTTTTATTTTGAGCCTATGTTGTTAAAATGAGCACTGACCACAAATATACACATAAAAGCAGAACGTTTTAGTTTCGGCACGGGAGCCTTGTTCACGACAAAAGAAGAGTGTGCAAACAGTCAAATTATGTATGTTTTAAAAAATGATGTACATCTGTACGTGAGAGGGAAGTTGTCGTCATTACATTTCAGAATGTGCACCGTTGTCTGAATTCTCAAGGAGGCAGAATAGAGCCCAGAAGTCGAGTTCTTTTTCATGAATTTTACCCCATGGCAGTGTATTTCGTGGCCAGTTGCTTTTGCTTGTTCGGCCAGCGCATTTGACGAAACCTTCTTGCATACATCATACATGTGCCACTCCAGTCTTTACTAAAGCTTACTTCTCTCGCCAGGGTAACTTTTACAACAGTCTGCACCACCCCCACCCTCCTCCCCAGGCGTCTGTCCCCATGTGTGTACCAGACCACATGGGTTTCTGTCTGCCAGTGGCATAGCACACCAAGCCCGTGCCCCCCCCCCCCCCCTCGCGATTTTTCCCATGCTATATAGCTATATATCTTTATATGATTAAATGCTTAAAACTTATAGCTCAAACAAGTGGTGCTGTCATTCAAGATTCACTGGCAACAGTCCTTTCTCACAAAAATTCATTCATCCAGCCGTAAACATTTCAGCCCGATCTGATCACTAAAAACCGGATTATAGGCAAATGCCTATTTTGTTCCTTGCATTCATATCGTGCCATTTTGATATATGAGCATGAATTGAAGGTTGAAAAGGACTTTTATGTTGTTTTTTATAGTGCCTATAAATGCCTATTTGGAGTGTTTGTGCCTATAATTGTCTATTTACCAAATGAGCACATATATGAGCGCTAATCAAGCCCAAATTTTGTTTTCGAGCATGGTGTGAAGCCGTTATTTATGTAAAAAAGGCAACATTGATATATAAAAACACTGTAAGGTTCAACGAAGACAAAGCTGACATGCTGCGAGTGATTGGAGGAGGAGCATAAGGAGTGAAAAAGACGCTATGTCTGCAGCCCTAAGAGGAAGCACGTCTTGCGTCTGCAGGGGTAGGAGGAGGGAGAATTAAAGATGGGGTAAGAAAATAAAAGTAATGTCAATGGCCGAGGACGTGGCGACCGCCTTCTACAGACAGCTGTCCAGATCCCTGGAGAAACTGAAGAACCACCCTGAAAAGCTGGTGTTGCGGTGGGAAAGAAAGTACAGGTTTTTCTGGGCAGCCACGGGTAGCTGGAGAACGAATGAAAAACCATGAAGGGCCACTCATGGAATGCTCTTGTTGATTCAGTGTTGGTGAAGGTCGCCAAATCGTTATAATTTATACAGCGAAGCTTGTGACAGGCACCGGCATATTTACAATCAACGGTGTATTTAGCCTACATTCTGTTACGAAGCGCTCCGCCGATGAAGTTACAACGGGCGCCACGAAACTCGCCGCTACCAAGGACACCGGCTGCGCCGACAGCATGGGGCTCGAAGCAACGACACGTACGTCGGCTTCGATAAGACGCGGAGCCGACGTACGCGTCGTTGCTTCGATAATTCTCTGACGCGTACGTCGGCTTCTCTCTGACGCATAGGTCAACTGCTGGCGACACGCCGCTTAGCTTTTTTATAGGCACCAGGTGGACCTTTGCGTCACCAACGTCCAATCAGAAGCGCCGCTGGCCGTGATTTCAGAATCCTCCAACGGGGACCCGCCGCTGGGCTGCATCATGATCATCAAATCCGGAGCCGCTGCGCGGGGTTGCAACCAAGGGCGAGTGCTGTTGCCACGCATTGCGTAAGACTCGCCAGACTGGAAGGCGCCGATTGCTTCATCGGGCTCGTGGGTTGAGGTAGCCCGCTGTGCGTTGCGTACGACAGACCGGCGCCGCCGCTTGATGACGTTGAGTTGATCGCGTCAGGCAGGCTCGATCGCTAGCCTTGACACAGATTGCCTTTGCAGAGGCACTCACGTTCGGTGTGGACTTTCAGGCGTAATAATTCTCTGTATGCTTGAATATGCTTGTTCCGTATGAGATCCTTTGTCATATGGCTTTAAGTGACAAATATGAAAAAATACACAGAACAGGGCTTCAAAGTTTGTCCTAAGCCATTACTAAAAAACGATAGCTGTAACAATATGAAAACTGAACTAGGATGGGAATTACCATCATTGCGTCAAATTAAGCTGCGGTAAAAGCTCCTATGTCAAGCATTTCATGGTCAAACTCATATTCGAAAATAAATGTACCTAGACAGCCCTCTTCGTGTGATAGTAATTAAGATTTTGGAATGTCATATCAGATATAATGTTTCTATTAATTAGGTTTTTATTAGTTTCATGACAGAATGAAATGGCTTATAAAGAGAACAAAGTGTGTTGTGCCAATAAAGGTGCATTTTCTTTAACATTGTAACCCATCTGGTGCAGCCCCTTCGTGTAAAAAGTGTGATGAGCACGTGGCTTTTGCTTTGTTTGTAATTTACCTTTAAGCATCCCTCTCTAGGTGACATAATAAGTTGTAGTTAGACACTAGAAGTTCTTGCGTGCCTAATGAAGAGCATTCTACCATGGTGATTTTTTAAATTGGTTTTCTACCAGCCACCAAAGCATGATGCAAAGAAGCAGGCTTGAATCCCTTGCCTCTCGTCCCGTGTAGCCATCGCGAGCCTCAATTCCTCCCTGTTCTCTTCGGTATCGGGGCTGGAGAATCACATGACGCATAAGCAACGAGAACAACATGCGTAAGCTAGGTCACGCGCGCATGACGTGTCCTAGCCTACTTGTGCACGTACAATATCGATGTTGTGTCGTTTCGGCGTTCTCTGTTGTGTATCACTAATTGCTGTGGGATGGATCAGTCAGCATGCGTGTACTTTAGGAGAGGCTGGCAAGGATCATGTATTGTGACCGCGATACACCACGTCGCTCCGCTGAAACTGCGTCCAGAGGCGGTGCATCAAACACAAGCTAAGCGTGGTCAGGGTTGGCGAAGGCACGATGCAGGAACGACGAGAAGACGAACTCAAGTGAAATGAGGTAGTAGTAGTGGTAGTGGTAGTAGTAGTAGTAGTAGTAGTAGTACATTAGTCGTAGGGGTAGTAGTAGTAGTGGTAGGGGTAGTATGTTTGGTTTTGCGTATAAAAACCACGATATGAACATGAGGGATGCCATAGTGGAGGTCTCCGCAAATTTTGACCATCTGGTGTTCTCTAACGTGCAACGACATCGTGCAGTACACGGGCATCAACTTTTTTGCCTCTATCTAGATGTGACCGCCGTTACCACAATCGAATCTGCAGCATTCGGGTCAACAGCGGAGCACCCTATAGCGACTGGTCCACTGAGGCGGACGCGAAACGAGGGACGATTAGTGAATAGACCTCGAGGCTATTCAAAACAAAAATTAAAATAATAACAAACAGATTCCGTTTGCATGTTTTGTTATTTTTCTCAGTGTTCATATATTATACTGATTTTGAAAAATCAGTGCAAAGACACAGGGGACAGAAAAACATAGAGACAAAGAGTGCTGTCGTTCTTTTCCCTTTGTCTTTGCACTTCCCTTTCGAAATGATATGAAGCAGCCAGCCCAAACCAAAGTACTCCTCATTCATGCTACAGAACAGAACACACAAATTGCACATGCCAAGTAGAGTAATGTCACGTGCAACGCTCCTAATGAGGTACCTTTTAAAATACAGGACATAATCAGGGGACGAAGCATTTTTTGTTTTTCTGGATATAGCTAACATATAACGAAGTTTTGATGAAGAGCGTATGGTATGCAACGTCAGCCCACTAATTTCAACGTAAAGGAGCGGTGTTCCTTGCTGTATGTCACTCCCTAGATATTGGGGCGCACACCCACGAGAAGGGCAAGGCATTCATTAGAAATTGAGCATTTTTCCACGACATATAATTTTGCCAATCTTAACAGGAATGATCCGGAGTGCACAGTGCATCATTACACTTGTCACTTCTAAATGCCCAAACCTAGTGAGGGGCCCTTTAAGGTGTTCACCGATAGGGGAAAAATTGGCCCTACGAGATGAGACCTAGCATCCCTCTCTTCTGGGGTGGTCTGGTCATTTGCTCCAGCGCTGCCCTTCCCAGCCACAATGAAACAAAGTAGACCTAGGAAAGTGTCAATTGAATGGTGGACACTTGACGTACAATGCTAGACAATAAAACGAAAGACCACATACTGCGATAGCGCAGAAAATGCATGCCTATGTTCAATCGTTGGTACCTTTCTGCCATCTTAAATATCATTTTTTTGGTTCTTGCCGTTGATACAAGTCACCGTTGTCATTGTTTTGGGATATTTCAATTTTTGTAGAAGTTTATTGTGCCTATAATTTTAATTTTGAGGGCCTAAAACAGTATTTTACCTGGCTGTCTTTAGCACCTAAAACACACTTTTTTAGTGCCTAAAGATCCGGCCTCTAGTGATCACGATCACAAGGTGGGTCCATGATGGAATGCCCTTTGTTGCGTGGAAGGGCATTCCATTCTGTAGAATGGAATGCCCTTCCACGCAACATTGCAAATATTAAAGAATCAACTGTTTTCCAGTCAACCCTACTATATTACCTAAGTGAGCAGTCCTGCCATACTAGTTGTATTGTGGGATTCCAAGTTTGCATTTATTCCATGTATATAGTTTGCTAGATTTTACTTTGTCATATATTCATTGATCGCTTATTTTATTCTGCTGAACCCTGTGTTCGCCTTTTTTTTTCTTTAAGTTTGCATTATGTTTGCTTGTTATTGTATTTTTTCTTTTTTAATGCTTGTTCCTCTTATATTTGGTTTTCTTCATTCGTTGTATTATGTATTGTATTCCCCCTCTACGTAATGCCCATTCTTGGGCCCTTAGGGTCAATAAATGAAATGAAATATTTGTGTGCAGCTAAACCTGTTCACCGGCTGACGATGCTGTACTTGGCCAACGATGTGCTTCAAAATGGCAAACGGAAAGGGGTACAGCAGTTTATCGAGTCCTTCAGCGACGTCCTGCCCGAGCACACTCCCCTGTTTCGAGATGAGCGCATCACCAAGCAGGTGGACAGGGTGTTCACCATTTGGGCTGAACGCTCTGTATTTTCTTCAGACTTCACAAAGAGCCTCAAGGAAATCCTGCGTAAGTTATATATATTCTTGCTTTTGACAGCTACTAGTGTAAACAGAAGTAGCGTTTAAAAGATAGCTGAAACATTAGAGAAGGAAGTGAGAAGAGAGGCCTTATTTGTAGTATGTTCCATTTGATGATAGTTTCTTTGAGCAGTCATAGTATTGCATTTAGTTGATGTTTTTCAATTTAGTACACTGCTGGCTTTTTCATTTAATGTCTTGACTAAAGAAGGACAAGCATTTGTATATGTAATAGTTCAATGGCATGTCAAAGGCCAATGGTTCGGAGCTGCAGCGCTGTTTTTACTGGTGTTCACAGCTTAGAAGCTTGAAAATGAAAGACTTTATGACATGAATGCGTGTACCGAGTTGTTTGAAAAGTGATATGTTTTTGTAATTGCTTTGTCTTCATGTTTCATATTGCAAAATTTACAAATGTGCCAGCTTATTCTGTGTGGATTTTAGATATGGTTCTCTCATGACAGGATTGCGGAACACTTATTATTCATACATTGTTGTGGACAAGAGTTTTGCTATAGTTTCTATTTAATGTACAAAAGCTGTTTAGTACGAATGCACCAAATTATATTATGACAACAAACACAGTTGTGCCAAACACTCGGCTGTCAAAAGATGCGTAAATTAGCTGGCCTAGTTGCGGGTACATTACTGTGAGGACGAGAAAGGCTGTTTAGTATTGCAGAACATTTATATCTATTCAGTAATAAAGGTATGTGTCAAATATGTCTGGTACTAGTTCATGGCATGAACTTGATTTGAATCCTGAAGAATTAAGACCGAGGGGAACCGAAGGCTTCTCCAGATTGCAGCTGTTGTGTTATTATGGAACTTGAGAAAGCATAAGCACAGCATTTAAAACAATTTAATCGTGTCTATGTGCTGTATTCTTGGGGCAAAAGTTTCTGGAACATAGGCTTTTCAAATGTGAATTTCTTTTAGTAATAGATTTTGCTTCTAGTTTAACTAATACTAATCATGTAGGATACAAAAATGGCTAAAGGCAGAAACCGTTATTTATAAGCTCCGTTGGAAGGTTAAGCGGGAATTCAAGTTTTTTTTTGCAAATGTCATCTCCCAAAATATTTTTTGTTTGGTTTTATTGTTCTAAAAAGCTTCATGTAAGAGTATCATTTTTTTCAAGAACTATTGGCATCAGGTCAGTAGTTGACAGCATAAGGTATATTCATGTAGCGAATGTTTTCAGGCAATTTATGTTGTACTTGGTGTTGCTGAGTCATGCATTGTACCATCTGGCATATTTTTCTGCCTTTTTACAGACGAATCAAAGCACTCTAGTTCCCACCACCGCTCTAGCTCAAAACGCGAGGAGTCTAGTGATGGTGAGTATGGCATTCAACATTACAGCAAAATAAATTTATTTCACTCTCTCAATTGCGTATGTCATTTGCAAAAGGCAGATTTTGAAAATGTTGTAACATCTGGGTTCAGCAGTGCAGAGGCTCGAATGTTTATTTTTCAATAATTTTGTTGCAGCTAAAGCAAAAGTTTTTGATGATTGTGAATGCCAGATTTGGGGATTTCACAAGTCAAGGAACTGCTGTAACTGTCAATATAAACAGAAGCTTTTACAAACCTGATAAAGCGAGTCCTGGTATGAATGTTGCAGGTCTTGCCAATGTTGTTTTCAAATTTTTTCTATGATCTCAGTTTACTCCCACAACTTCAGTAGAGGGCTAAAAAAAAATGGAGAGGAACTGTTTCAGACTTTATGCAATGGTTGGTGTCTCCCTTTTCCTACCAGCATAGCTGCCAACTGAGGCATTTCACTTGGCATTTCATTTTGTGCAGCTTGGAGAGGTTGCTCATATGTGATATCCAGACGCATGGACTATGGAGACATTGCCTCAAAAAAAGTTCTCTTTTTTGAAAGACCAGTACACAGGCTCCCAACTTTTTTTTACACCCTTGAACAACCTTGCTATTCGTGCAGTAGACCGTGGCAATCACTTTTTGTGAATATTAACAGCTGCGACATTTAAAAAAACAGTTCCCACACCTCTCCACTGCCGGTCCTACCTTCCTCATACACGAAGTGACTTACACCTGTATTCACAAACCATGCTCAGCCTTACCTCGAGTTTTTCTTATCGGTTGTAAGCCTTTATTGTTCCTGATGTACGATGTGGCCAGCATTCATGAACCAGTCTTTTTGTAATCTTTTACCTGGTTACCATTTTTGTGCTTTAATAACACATGTAAAAGGTACAGAAACTTGAGAACTCTAGGTAAGGTGAAGGTTGGCTTGTGAATACGGGTCTTAATCTTGCGCACGGGCAACATTAAGCTGCACCAACTTCGTGGATTGATCCTTTGCATTGCAAAACGGTGCCTTGGCCCTGTGGGGTGCAGTTCTGGCTAGTTTAGCCATGCAGTTCGTATTTTCATTTTTCTGTCTGCCCTCTGGCACGGCGACAAGTGGTAATGCCAGTGCAGGAGCCTTCGAGACGAAGTGCCTCGCTAATTTATTGCTAGGGCGAGGGTGCATACCTCGCCAGTGCCTGATACTGCTTGCACAGCGCTTTTCTTGCACGGTTAGGACAAAAATGACACATGGAGAAAGTTTTGCTTGGTCGTTAGCTGTGCGCCGATCATGGAATACCCGACGTGTTTGTTGCTGAAGTGGGTGTAGTCACAGCAAAGGGCTACTCCTCTGCGAGAGAAGGTGGGAACAACAAGTGAGTAACCGAATGAGCATTTCTGAATATATGAGAGGAATTGCAAAGGTAACAGAACAGGAAAATGTTGCTTTAAGATCATTCAGTTTTTTTTTATTAGTGAAAGTCCTTAGCAGAAGGTTTAGTGTGTGCTTGTTGATTATCACTAAGTACCTGAAAAACGTATATTCCTGGAAAAAAAAAAAAGAACTTTTGATCTGGTTTCTGTAGATAAAGGAAATTAGAATCTGTACTGGCTATAGTATAGCTAACAAAGCAACATGTTCAACTGAATTTATATGCTCTACAAATAATGTGACCATTTCATGCCTTTGGGGGAGAATTCACAGAATGGTTGAATAAAAAAATATCATGACACCTGTGTTATTCAATTAATCTAGTAGCATATACTCCCTATTCCTGATTGGCAGCTTACTGGTAGGTAGTTGTTTATAGTTATAAACTTCTCATGCTATGTGAACCACTATTTTCTTCTTATGCCTGTACATCCTAAGTCGTAAATGGTGAAGGAATTTTAAATACACTGTCGTGAATAAGCTAGGAAAATCTGGTAATTTCAAAGGGGCAACATTTTAGACACTCTGCTTATCAAAACATTTCGCTGTGAGTTCTATTAATCTTTAACTAATTCATATATTTATTGCTTTTTTGTTAGAATGCTCTGTGTTGAACATAAGAAACAATGCCTCATCATTTTTAGTGTTTTGCTTGTTGTGGCACCGTAATCATACAATCGGAACTAGCTGTAACGAACACCGCTTCTACGAAAAAAAAAATTTCTGTTCCTCGTCAGCAGTTCATAGGAGTCAATGCATAAACATTGTCGCCACAATAAACGCCTGTCTTCTATCATTCCGCTTCAACGAAATTCGACGATGCAATTGCAGGCTCAGATTTAATTATGTGCAGTAAACACAGTCTTAAGCATTTTGATGCATTTTCAGGACTTAAAATACGTCTGCGAAGTCTAAGACGCGCGTTGGCACCACTAGAAATTGCCGCTGTTTACTAAGCATGGGGGCCACTATTGCTCAATAGTGATGGCGTTGAGACATTCCTGCTATTTTCACTAGTTGATTCTGAGCTGCGGACAATCCAAAACTGAAGCTCAGTCACTCAGTTCAGAGTTTCCTACACGCTGCTGCTGGGCGCAATCCCAAAACGATGCCTTTTTTGTTGCTAATTCTTTTGGTTTTTTTTTTGTACACTACCAGTGCGTTTACTGGTCAAGAGCGGCTGTTCATCTGCGTTATCCACAAAATCAGCCAGCCGTGACCAGTGGATGATAAGAATAGCATAAGTCACCGCTCCGCGATACCACGCCTCCACCTCGGCATTGTCAAATACCTGTTGACGGCGGGCAGCTGCTGGTGTTAGCGCCTTTGTGCAACTGTTAGGTTTGCTCACGAAAGCCGTTGTGACCCTTGTTTCAGCATGGTTTCTAATATGGTGTTGCTATGCATGTGGAAGAATTTCATTATGGGGCTGCTAGGAAAAATAGGGAAGCAGTCAACACTTTTTGAATTTTGGGAATAAGAGTTTCTTTGTTGCACCAGCTCAGGTCAGCTATAATTTTTTCGATTTCACTGCAACGAAATTTTCGTTTCAACAAGATTTTTCTGCACCCTGTCAGTTTCGTTGTAGCGGACTTTGACTCTATCTGCAAAGCTTATATTCTGCAAGTTCTGTGATGCACATTTGTTGTGCTTCATTGAGCATAATGATCCATATGCAGCTCCGTGAAATTTATTAATTTACATGATTGCTTTGCAGATGGTACCAAGTTGTCAAAAGAACCAGAGAAAAAGGGTGAGGTCTTTAACTGCATATTCATTTACATATCATCACCTTGGTAATAAAAGGTGCAAACATTTAAGGCATCGTCGTTCCGAACTAGTCTTTCTAGCCGAGAAACATATTTGCACCTAATCAGGCAGCACAGCATAAATATAATGTAAACACTGACTGAACGATGAGTTAATGAATTCAATGTGACAGGAACTCTGTTACGTGCCTTAGCTAATGCGACAAGTCACATGTTGGTGCGGCCAAGCCGTGGCGAATTCGAGCGCATCGCAGAAACGGCATACAATAAAAGTCCAAATATTAGGGTACAAGATAGCAAGAGACCCGCCTTGCATGATGCTCACATTTAATAACATGAGTCTAAGGGCAAACAAAACTAAGGGGTGAGGTTGCATTGTTGGTGTGAGCCAACGTGGGGTGAGACTGCATTTGTTAGTCTTTGTGATATTGTGTCCCCAGGCTGTTGTCACTGTGCTTGCTTGGTAATATAGTTTCTCATGCTTCACTGCTAGAAAAGTTTGTTGTAGATCCTGCTTGGGGCTGTTCACATCACTTGCTGCAAAGGAAATGCAGATATTCAAGCATATTACTGCCATGATGTGGTATTTTTTCATTTTTATATTTTATTAGAGCTGCTTTGTAAGTAAATCTGCTCTAGACCTTAGCAGATGTGTGATGTATCATTCTTAATGCAGTCACAATAATGCAGTCAGCACTTGATGCTCTGAGACTGAAGAGTAATCAGCAGTTTCAAACCTGTTGGCTGATAAATGAATGAAAGCTCTGGCAGATATCCTAGTGTGGGGTTTACTGACCAGAACAGTCATGTATCGTCGTCATAATCAAAATTCTCAGTCTATTCATTTTGGTGCGCCCTCAATAATCTCCAGTTTATCCTGGTCTGTATGAACTACACTACTTAATTTCATCACTCCATGATACTCTCTTCCTTTCTCAGCTGTGTTTCTCATCTTTTGGAAACTATTCTATTGCTCTTACTGTCCATGGGTTGTCTGTTCAATGCATTACATGGTGAGCCCAGGTCTGTTGCTTTCGCTTGACGTCAGCTAGAATATTTGTGACCAGTTCGCCCTCTGATCTCCTACGTGTTATGTTCTATTGCATGGTACATTAACTCTAGTATTAGCTTTGTTATCATCCATGCTTTAGCTTTATATGTTTGAATTGGAAATATGCAGCGATTGTATACTTTTCACTTTAATGACAGTGGCCGATTTTCCGACATTACTCCGGAGTGCCCAACGAATGTGCGCATCCCATTATTCTTCTTCCGCAAACTTCCTTTTTTGTGATGAGTTTCTCCTGTTTGTAGTTGTCCTTTCTCATATAGCTAGGACACAGCCGTTTTAAAACTCTTGACAGGCATTGTTCGCACATGAATGCATGCATCCATATTTAGTAGATGGGTCAAGATGAAACTGAATGGGATAGCGCAATGCCATCCAAGTATGGTTACGATATGGGAGTGCTCGTGTTTATTAGAATTTAAGCCAATACCTTTTTGCAAAGTGTGAGAGACAAGACTCGGAGGTTGGCTTTTAAACTAGCATGTAGTGCAAGGATGTCACAGGTGAGTTCCTAGCATCAGCGTTATTTTCAGTGGCATTTTTGTATGGACCTTGGCTACATCACTGCACTGAGAATGTAGCCTTGATTGCACAGGACTTTCTATGCCCTTGCAGTCCCTCTGGTGGGGCTGTTCCAATCTCCTCACCTGGCCTCTGCACTTCCTTCATGGCTGCTGCTAGGAGCAATATGAGCCCTGAATACCAGCCCCCCTTTTGCGAGTTATGGCCAGGATGTGAAAAATGTGCATAGCTGGTGCACGCTTGCCCAAGTACACTAAAGCAAGATGAAGTGTGACAAATGGGTTTGCCTGGATAGATGAGTTACTTAGGAGAAAGGTTAAAATAAGGCAGTGCATAAGTATGTAATGCAAAAGGATGATTTGGTAGTGAACTCGACTGTTCTTCCCTGAAGGATACCTAATTTGTATAAAAAATATGAGTCGCTTTGTTCTACACTTTGAAAAGATTAACTGCACTTTTTTTTTTTGTTCTCGTCATCATCACCAATAGTCACAAGGTTAAATTGGTGGTGTTTGAAGTGCTTCATATTGAAAGCATTTTTTGCCAGTTTACTGCATTTTGAAGTGTCGGGGCCATAAGTTGCTTTTAGTGTTTTCTCAACATATTTTTTATTAATGTGACCTGGTAAATGGCCTTATGGTGTGGCAGTAAGTCATTGATTTGGTTTTAATTGCCTGAGACATTTGAAACTAATCTTATGCAGGCAAAAGTAACAGCTGTTCATGTTCATATCTGCTTTTACTGTTACAATAAAGTTAGAAACTTGGGCATGTTGCTAGTGTAATGAATATAAAAATTGCGCAGCATACAAGGACTGAGAAAGGTGACACATATTATGCCGACTTTCAATAATGTTTGGTAGCGAAGAACTGAACATGTATATGTGTGGAATATGGGCATGTGTAAACAGGGTGTAGCTATTCATAGAGTTTCCTATAAATACACTAGAGGGAATTCCGGTGCTAGTGTCTATGGGAGCCGCAACGCATGGCGCTACAGTGGTCATGGGAATGATGGGTAATAGTATACGAATTTGTCTAATTTTCATACTTCCGGCTCTGGTTGGCATGGCGTGGCTTGAATGGTTGGCATGGCGTGGCTTGAAGTTGCTTTGTCACGAAACAACAGTCAGCAATAGTTTATCAGTTACGCTTCTCCACCTTGAATCTTTTAGGCTCACCGATTCTATTCAAATTGGGTCATGAAGTTCAAAACAGCATGTTGTCTTATTTGAAACAAAACTAAAAACACAGGAATAAACAAAGCCACAATTGCGATTCGCCGCCTGCAAGTACGAAGACTAGGCGAATCTGTGTACTACCCATCATTCCTATGGTCACTGAATGATCGCAGAGCCAGAGTTCCCTCTAGCTAACTTTAGGAAACTCTTTGCTCCTCCCAACTGCGTGGATGGCTATGCAAAGCAAGAACTCGTGTCACGTCTTGATGGAGCGAGAAGTCGGTAGCAATTTAAGATTGAGATGCACCATCGCTTTTTGCAACAATGCAATCGATGGGAAAATTAATGCACAATCTGTTGAGCTTGTCAGATAAGCATATCACATAAGAAAGTTCAACAGCTTGTGTCTTAGCAAAATTATGCCCTCAAATTTTTTTTCATGCAGAAAGTGGCAAGCCCAAAAATCCTGAGGTGGAAAGGATTATCCTGGAGTTCAAGGTACGTACGTATGCTTTTTGCAGCATGTCTCCACATCTCCATTTGTCTATGTGACTTCTGGCCCTTAATATTTTTCAACTATTCAATAAGGAATTTAATGCTGACCGGTATATCTGCATGCTGAGTTGGGATTTGGAGCACAGTTTGTTTGAACAAAAAGCAGGAATGACAAAGCTTCTAAAGTTAAAAAAACAAAAATACTCTTCCTTCTTCTGCTCCATCATTCTTTTTTTTTCTTGCTATTTGAAATCCTACATTTGAAGAAAACTTTTACTTCACTCACTCTGCTGCATAGGTCTGCTTATTATTTTTTTTTTTCTCCCTGTTGAATGTGAGAGAGGATGAGCTACCAAGGAAAACTGTCATTGCCAAACAAGGACAGACCTGTTTCATGAATCATTAGCTCCAGAGACATTCCATGTTTCGACAACTATTGATTGTGTCGATTGACTTTGAGTAACATATTATGGCTCTGACATAGTTTTCATAGAAGTTGGCCCTTGCTGTGCATGCCGAGAGCCTTGTTCAGGAGCGCGGCAGCTGCGGCACTGGTGCCAATTAGATAAGATTTTTTATTCTTGCATAAAGCTGAGCCAAAACCATGGCATTAGTTAAAATTGCGCCACGCTGTGCCAAAATACACGACCAACCTGAATGTTTTCTCCATGCTGTTAATTCCAGCAAGAAATGTAGAATGCATTAGTCATCTACAGTTTTTGCATCATCATTGAATCCAATTCAGACATGCAGACCATAACTCTTAACTAGCAGTTCACTCTACCCTAGCCTCACCGCAAAAGAAAAAAAAAATCACAGCATATCCGCAAAGTGAATGATGATTGGCGGGGCGAAGCGTTCTTCAGTCCGTCCGTGCTTTAGTCCGTCCATCAGTGCGACCGCTGGTGCATCTGTCGTTCCATGCATGCATGCCTCTATGCGGCCGTCTGTTAGTCCAGTTCTTTCGTCTGTTCATCCGTCCGTCCATGCGTCTATTCGTGCGGCCGTCGGTCTGTCCGTCCGTCGCCCCTCTGTCTGTCTGTGCGGCTGCCAGTCCGTCCGTCAATCTGTATGTCCGTCCGTCTGTCCGTCTAGCTAGTGAACACTAGTACAGCCATCTCATATCTTTTCATCATGCATTCATCATATACAAGTGCCGCCATCCAGCGGACATTCTAAGAACCACTCATTCAGGTATGTGCCACCGGTGGCTACATACACCAGGAGAATGGACAGATTCACACCCTAAGTAGCTTTGCCCCTAAAAGGATAGTGATTCTAATATTTCTTGACCTTGTTCTATTACGTGCAGAACATTTTTAAGGCCATTTTTGTTGCAAAGCATCTTTGCTATGCAAAAAAGTATATTGTTACGTGCAATCCAAATGGTGTACGAATAACTGTTTATTGGGGCGAACTTGTGCCCGAAAAGTAGCGGCGACTGTAACAGGCGATCAGAAAAAAGGGATCAATCTCCGAGAGAGAAAAAAACCCTCGAGTCGTGGTCCACTTCTTCTTCATCAAAATCTCGTGCTGAGGAAGCGCGCGCCGTCACGGCCTTTTCTTGTTTGATCATAAAGCCGCTGATCTCTTGGGGGGGCGCATGAACTAGCGCGCGTAGTTTGAATACTGCGTTCACCTTGCGTCATTATCCCTCCTCCGAAAACGCATCGTCCCGATGCGTAAAAGCAGTACTGCTGAGATGGTCTGAATGCGTGATTTCCAATGGAGAAATAGGTATTCCTCATAACCGGGTGTGTATAATTCGATGTTCATTGCCTGTCATAGTATGGCTTCATTCTGACTACATGCACGATTTCTGTGCTCCTTTGGCATCTTGATGAGCTCACTTGTCCTTCCGGTGACTACGATTTGGAAGGGGCTATTGGTACTCATTACAGGACACATCACATTTTGTTCCTTCATTACTCACGTGTGAACACGCCATATAATAGTGAGTACTAGTGTGATTAATGGCATCTAAAGAATTACTGGCAATCATTCAGAGTGGTCTGTGAGGTTTCTGTGGCGTTAATTAGCAATTAACAGAAACGTACAGCAATCCTGTTATTGCTCCACCCCCTTTTGCTCCTACCTCACGAATCTCCCGAATCTCTAGGTTACCTGTCATGGTTTTACAGGTTCTGCAAATGCAAATGTGGATTTCGACATTGATTCAAGACTGCTTTTATTGAAATAGCTGTGGTCATGTACATGAGTTAACTGATGTTAAATAGTTTGGGCATATGTATATAGTATTTTTCTTTTCTAAAAAGTCAGTCTCATTTGTAGTAGTGCTATCAATTTTTGATTTCAGGCTGAAAAATGGAGCATTTATTTTTGTGGCGACCTGCTCTAAAAGCAACATTTTGCTGCACAAAACATTGCTCAAGATTCTAATGAGGCTGTTGCGCACCTGCTTGTAGTGCATTGGTCTGGCATTTACTTGTACATTCGTTTCCAGCCGGAAAAAACCATAGACAAGATCAAGAAAATAAAAAAGGTTGAGATTGAAACATCCACCAAGTTGACAAACCTGACCAGTCGCAACATGGATGTGTCAAGCTCGGAAGTTCTGAGGAAGTTCAAAGGTACTTACTGAAAATACTTCTTGTCTTCCTGTTACGATTTTTTTTTCTGTGTGATGTTTTGTGCTTTAGTGTAAGTTGTGTCAGTTATGACGGGTGCCAAAAGTGCTGGTAGTGTTCAACACTGCTTATTATTTTCTTTCTTTAAATAAAATTGTAAATTGCTATATTCGATACTGCACGTGAGTCTGCGACTATGTCACTGTTTATATCTCCCGTTTCCCTCATGGCAATATTTTTAGGTCTTTTTACAGGCATGTTGCATTTACGATGTGCTCCTTGTTTTTTTTCGTTACGTCAATAATCATTGCCGGATGTGCGACACTCTTTCGTTGTCATACCTAGCTCATGCACCAATGAGCATGTAATCGTCATGTATGCCAACAATGATAACTGTGCCAAATTGTGAAACCTGCTAAATCCTGCAACATTTCGCCAAAAAGCTCATAGTTTTCACCAAGCATGCACTAGGGCGTCATTTCAGCAGCCTTTCGTGGGAAAACAAGGGAGCAGGCACTCCATATAACTAATTGATGAACCGGACTTTAATGTGACCAAGGTTTATTTCTTGCAAGTCTGCGAAGTGTCTGCAATCTGCTATAACTTAGGATACGGTTAAGGCGCTGCCCAGATGCCCAAAGTGCGGCAACCAATTGCTTCCGCGAATTTGATAGGCCTGCTCATGCTCATGACTGTGCTCTTCAATGTCAGGGTCACGGTCAGTCTTGCTGATGACGTCAGTGTAGAGCACATGCTCATTGCTGCAGGCTAGTGTGCATCGGCTTTTAAAGGTCCAGTCAACAGGCTCATACTTTTTAAACCCCCCAAAGAAGTTCGGCAATTCATAAAGTAGACCACGGTAATCACGTTTTCTGAATATTACAGCGCTACGCTTCGTACAGAGCCTCCATTTTGAAAAACAATTTCTCCTCGCCGTTCTTATGTCTGACCAATCCTCCTTCCATGTGCAGCACGCTGCTCGTTGATTGGTATGAACCAGTCACGATGACAAGCTACACGTTCCTTTCCCTGTGAGCAAGAAGGGTGGCAAGGCCCCACTAAATTTTGAAGCCAGCTGTAGTCATAGTTCTATTCCCTGTAACTTCATTTATACAACACATACCGTATTTACTCGCGTAATCTTCACACTCGCATAATTCTCGCACCCCCACATCGCCCAACAAAAATACGATTTCTTTTTTTTCCTCGAATAATTATCGCACCCCCGAAAACTGCTGCAATAATGTCGTCTGCTCTTTGCAGCCACTGATGATGATAGCGCACGCCATCTCTTAAGCATCAAGCGTACTATTCTACAGAGATTCAATGCAAGTCAAGCCGAAGTGGCCAGTGTGCGTTGCGCCATGTTTTGTATGTTGTATCGGTAATCTTGTCACGTTATGAGGCGATACTGAAGCTGTTCAGCTGCTTTCAAGTTGCAAGTGATAGATCATGCACTAAACAACGGCAGCAGGGCCGCCGGTAGGCCCTTCGGAGTCTACGAGTTTTGTGTTCGCTACTGGAGACGGCAGCATAAAGCCACCAAGGCGCGTTGGGTCTTTGAATAACGCGTTCGATGCTCTAACCACTGAGCTATCACAGTGGCCTGAGGCGCGTTGGGTCTGCTGTGTGCCTAAAACTGGCATTGATGGTAAACTTTATTTCTTCAGAAGGAAACTGTGGACGATTCTGTTAAATAGCCATCAGCCCAATACTGACATCCCACGCTTACCTTTTGAGGGCTCCTGTTGAGCGACGCTACCGCTACGCCCGCTGAGCTTTGCGTACGGTATTCTAATTCTCGACTATTTGCTTCCACTTTTTCTGTCTTTAATAAATCTTGTCTTGTGTTGTATCTCTGCTTTTATTGTTGAGATAAGTTCTAATTAGTACTTCTTAAAGCTTACTGTAAGTTGCTGGTGTGAGAATCCTGATTTGCGGCCGCTTCGTTTTCTTTTTCGCTCTGTACGTTTTCGTGGAAAGTTTTCCCCGCGTAATTCTCGCACCCCCCAACTTTGCATCAGTTTTCCGGCAAAAAAAGTGCGAGGATTATGCGAGTAAATACGGTATTCATGAAATTCTTGCGACAGCAAAACAATAGTGCACACATTCTTCTTTATAACAATTTGTGGACCTCGGGGGTTCTTTAGTGGCCCTTTAACATGGCCACTGTTTTTTAAACCAGTACAGGACTACAAAATCAATTCAGTGATAATTCTGGATGATAATTTTTTAAGTGTGAATACACTTTATAAGCTACCCCAAACCATCCACCACCGTCGGCGGTGTCCGCAGTCTTCTCTCTATCTTTAAAAGAAAGAGGACTTGGCGAGCCGGAGCGCGACGCTCTGCCGAATAAGCCACGGGCGCGACGCTGATATCGGTGTTAGTAACGCGCCTTATACCCCCTCCCCCTTCGCTCGCTTTTCCGCTCGCTGCAGCTGCGCGCGCACCCCCTCTCTCTCTTGCTCCGCCTTCTCTCTCAGTCTCCCGTCGAGAGCGAATCGTCAAGAGCGGGTCGTCAAGAGCGGGTCGTGAGGGGGAGTAAAGTTAAATAAAATCCGTTGGCATTCGCCAGTGAGTTAACGTAAACTCCCCCGTGTGATCAAATTGCGATTCCCAGGAACCATTACACCATAAAGGCACCATAGTATGATTAATAAATATAATAGTGCGAATTAATAAGTACCCCTCATAGCATCACCCCGTGTATTCGCACTTAATCATATTCACCCTCGGGGAAATGCTTCGGGAGTTTTATCTCCCAAAAGGGCTGGTGTAAAATAGGACTGGGCGCATTCCTGCCCAACAATGCAACTACCTTGTACAGCGTAAACGAAGTTTTATACAGCTGTTATTATCTGACTCCGCGACTTGGCATTGTTAAATGGTGTAAATGTATAGTTGAACGCCACTTCCAATAAACTTTCCGCTACAACAGAAAAACTCTGTTTCCCATCAGCAGACTATAGGAGTCAATGCATAAATATTCTCACCTTAACACTTTTTTTTCTGCCGTCTTGCTTCAACAATATTAACGATGCACTTCCAGGTTCAGATATATAATGCTGTGCAGTAAACACATCTTTATCATATTGATGCATTTTCTGAATCTGAAGATATATCGATGAAGTCTAAAACACATGTTTGCACAACCACAAACCGCTGCTGTTTACCAAGAATGGGTGCCGCCATCGCTCAATAGCAATGGCTATGAGACTGCCCTGCTTTAGTCACCGGCGTGCTTTTGAGCCGTAGATCATCCGAAGCTGAAGCTCAGTCGCTCAGTTCTTAATTTCCTTCATGCAGCTGCTGGGTGCAATTGCGGAACGATGCCTTTCTCAATGCCAATGCTTATCATTCTGTCCGCGCTTGGCCAGTGTGGTAACTAATTATAGCAGCTGTTCGTCCGTGTTATCAACAAAATCAGTTAGCCAGCGAGTGATGGATGATATGAAGAGCATAGAATAAGGCAAAAGTCACCACTGCATGCTACCCCGCCTCCATCTCGGCTTTGTCGGATTCACTTTGATGGCGGACAGCTGCTGGTGTTAATGCAACTTGTAAGCTCGTTCACAAAATCTGTTGTGGCTATTGTTTCAGTGTCTTTTCACCATGGTGTCGCAATGCAAGGATGAGAATCGCGTATGACGCCCCTATGAGAGAATAGAAAGCAGCCAACACATTTTGAATTTTATGAATAAGAGTTCCTTGTTTGACTAGCTCAGATCAGCTATGATTTTTCAATTTCACTACAACGAAACTTTCGCGAATTTTTTCCGCGTCTCGTCTATTTCATTGTGGCGGGGTTGGACTATAGCTTCTAAACCTCACGAAGTTAGAGAACAGCAGTAATTGGTCCTATTACAAGTGTTTGTATCTTTTTACTTGATTGAATGTATTAGTCATGGTGAGCTTTCTTTTCTTTTTTCACAAAATCTGGTAGTACTATTCATTTTAATTACCTTATGAAAAAGGTGATGCAGAATGCCTGCTTAGTCAGGACTTATCAGCGTTTCCAACCTTCAGCGTCAGACGTACCTGTGAAAGTTGACTTAGATAAGGGGTCTCAGCTGGTTAGTGGTATTTTAGACCTGCTTCTCTACTGCAGCTAAAGCTTGTATTTAATAACTTGTCACGTGAGATAGCAAGCCTTCACCAACACACGTTTTGTTAAATGCAGCAAATATTGCAGGAACAAAGGATCATTTGTGACTGAAGCTTGTACTTTATCTACAAAACCGCCTACAAAACAGCAGCCTAACCATTTTTCACGTTAAGCACAACATCATTTACTGTACTATGCAACGTAGGCGTAGGTGGTAATAAAAGCAGAGACATTATTATGATAGGCTTTTTCTTTACGATTGTTAGAAAAAATACCTGAGGAATACTGGTACAGCTTCCACTTATATGCAGCAAGTGCCAGGGAAAGCTTCATGTAACTATAATTATGAATTGCATTGCGACCATACTTTAGGTCAGAGGCGGTCATGGAACTGAATAAATTGAGTTTTGGGTGATAGTAAACTAGGAGCAGTATGTTAATTTGATTTACTAAAATTTTTGTTAATAAACATGCATTCATCTGTGCATATAACATATAATTAAACATGCCGCAACTGCATTACATTAGTGACAAATATTTGTGCTTGTAAATGTGAAACTGGTAACGGCTCCATAAAGTTGATGCGCTGCTCGAAAAATGGCTTTGATCAATGACATCATTGTATATCCAACCCTACAGTGGCACAGTCCTTGTCTTAAGATTTTGTTAATATTACTTAAAGGGGTCGTCAAATGTTTGCCGAAAATTCTACGTGTGTATCCGGAATCCTGGTCGTCCATTCAATACTATACCTCTGCTTGTTTCATTGTTCAGGTTCATTTAACAACTATAAAAGCACAATTTCGATTTCCTAACTCGCGGTCCCCTCAACTTTACGAGTGACGTTTTAAGTCAGCCAATGAAAAGTCTGTCTTTGGCAAAACATGGCGAAGCAGTGATGTTTCCTGATCCGAGATTTGTAGCATCATACTATCTCGATTGTGGTGCTGTAAAGACGTCATGACCGTTGTTTCCGCTTTGATTAGTTGTGTGGCAGTGTCCGATGATTCTCAGTGCAGGCATAGTGAGGGCTAAGCCATCCAAAACATGCCGTGCCCCACTGCGGTGGTCTAGTGGCAAAGGTACTCGCCTGCTGACCAGCAGTTCGTGGGATCGAATTCCGGCTGTGGCGGCTGCATTTTCGATGGAGGAGAAAATGCTGTAGGCCTGTTTGCTCAGATTTGGGTTCACAGTAAAGAAACCCAGTTGGTCGAAATTACTGGAGCCCTCCACTTCGGTGTCTCTCATAATCATATGGTGGTTTTGGGACATTCAAGCCCCGCATATCAATCACTCAATCAACCAATCCAAAACACGCCGTAAAGTACAACCTAACGCAACTAGTAAAAAAAAAAAAACGCTGCATTAAGCAAGCGAAGGTAACTGGGAAGGCAACCAGGAAGCAAGAATACACACACGGGGGAGCTTGAATACATCTGAAAGTGGAACCAAGCAGATGACTTGCTCTGCTTGCTCAATATACAACACGGAGTGCAAGAATCGTTGTGTTATCTCTTTCTTTCCCAGGTTTTATAAATCTATCATTTTAGAGCAAAAGAAAGCTTACACTGTGTTTATAACTTCGCTTAGCATGACGTCGAATGTATCTGTGGCAGCCAGTGGTGCGTGCCGCATGGTCATTTGGGAGCCCAAGAAAACTAGGATTTCATATGGGCGTCAATAATTATAGACTGGATATTGAGCTCAAATATTTTGGTATCGACCTGTTCAATCCTTATTGAAGCAGAGAAAATTACAGTCGGCCAGCATAATTTTCTTTTCACAACCCCTTTGAAGTATCAATAAAGCACTCTTTACCAGAAAGTTCTATCTTGAAAAATGTTTCCATTTCAAGGCTCTTAATGACTAAAAGATACGAAAAATAGGAGACCCTAAAGCTTTGCCTTTAGGAGTTGAACGCGATAGCGATATTCTGTTCCTAGTGCGCAGTTCAAACACTTAGTGCATGTGCGTTTTAAAACTTGCTATGAACGCAGTACAGTCGACTCTCATTAATTCAAACTCGAAGGGACCCCTGGATTTTGTTTGAATTATCAGGCTGTTTGAATTATCAGAAGTTCTCATATATGCGACTCTGGGTAAGGTGACAGCACAAATTATGATCAGACATCTATATTCACACTTTTAAGCATCTCTAGATCCTAACTACACAAAAACAGAGAGCGGTGCATGTATGGTCAACAAGTTTATTGACTATCTACTGCTGACTAGACCTTTTAAAAAAATCATGGATGGTCAACTGCTTATTTGCCACATGCGCATTTAGCACAAAGCTCTCGATGCCAGTAAGTGCTGCCAGTTGATTCTGAGAGTTTTCTGTTGTTGTCAGAAATTTTCTCACTTTAGCAATGTACTGGAAAGCCTGTGCAGTTGTCACATTTTCCACTTCCGGTTCTTCTTCACTTTCACTGCTGTGTTGTGCTGGCAGCACCTCTGCCACCAAGTCATCGAGTGTGTCCTCCCTGCACAAGCACAGGTTATCATCAGAAGCTGCATAACTGTCGAGGTCGGCAGCTATGTTGTGCGCTTTTAAAGCAGACAGCACTTGGCTTTCATCGTTGCCCTCAGTCTGCAAGCAGTCAGATCAAGTGGCAATGCTGCAGCCAGGTATGCGGAAGGCATGCTCGAAGCAGTTCCTTATTGTTGCTGATGTGACAGCATTCCATGCGTCGGCGAGCATGCCCAACGATGAGAGTAGTGTGACACTGTAAGGCATGGAATTGTCCATACATATCAGCATTCTCTTTAGCAGTGTTTTCCGGTAATTAAGCTTCAAGCATTTGATTACCCCTTGATCCAGGGGCTGGAGGACAGCTGTAGTGTTAGGAGGCAGAAATTCAAGGCGAATTGCTTCCAGCCCCTCCACGTCGCCGTGCGCAGGGCAGTTATCAACAATGAGCAAAATTTTCCTTTTCGCTCGCTTCATTTGCCCATCCAGTTTGCGGAGCCAACCCTCGAACAAAGCTTGCGTCATCCAGGCTCGCGTGTTTCCGTCATATGCAACTGGGAGCGTTCGGACGCCTTTAAAGCACCTGGGACGCTTTGACTTGCCCACAACGAAGAGTTCTGGCTTGTGACTTCCGTCCATATTGGCGCAAACCATGACGGTTAACCGTTCTTTGCTCAGCTTTCCGCCAGTGCAACGCTCTCCCTTGCGACACAAGGTTTGATCGGGCAGGCACTTGAAAAACAGCCCCATTTCGTCGGCATTATATACATCAGCCGGGGAGTATTCAAGCAGCAGGCTTTGAAATCTAGTCTGCCGCCAGTCAGAAGAAACAGCTTCATCGACCACTGCTGCTTCACCACTCACTGTTTTGAAGGAGAGACCGTGGTGTTCCTTGAACCGAGAAATCCAGCCATCGCTGCACTTGAAATCTTCAATTCCCAAGCGCAAGGAAAGTTCTTCAGCTTTCTCTCATAGGATTGGCCCATTTATCGGTAAATTGGAGCTCCGTGCGCGCTTGAGCCAAAGAAGCACGGCGTTTTCGAGATCCGGGTACGCAGCTTCCCTAAGCCTTTTCCGATCGGGAGCGAAGCGGCTCGCGTTATTCTGCAGCTTGTCTTTGGCTTTCAGAATGGTTGTGAGAGTACTTTTGGTTATTCCATACTTCAGTGCCACTTCGGTCTTCTTTACTCCAGCGTCGACTTCTTGGATAGCGGCCAATTTCTCTTTTAGGGGTAGTGTCCGATATTTTCCTCGCGGTGCCATGGTCGATCGAAAAATGCGCAGCACGTAAGAAAGACGGGCAGACCTGTACGCATTCTGTGGGCAGGTCACGTGCTTCTGAGTCAGCCGGCGCCACCGGCACGCCGGAAAAGCAGAGATAAGCCGCGAGCCAGCTTCGTAACCACCGGGCCGTTTTTGTTTTTCGTTTTTTTTTCCACCGCGGCGCGGAATGCTGAGAAATGATTGTGTGGCAAAACCTTTTCCCTTGAAGTTTTAAGGCGCTTATTTTTCAATATCAGACTATTATGATAATCATAAGCACGCAAATTTTCAAATATTGCCGGCAAATCAGCAGAAATTTTCCGGTATGGACAGGCAGAAAGTACGAATTAACCGAATGACGAAGTTTGAATTAAGCGGCTTTTAAATACATTGAAAGCATAGCGAGCTAACCAAAATTTTGAATTTTGTATGAATTAACCGAAAGTTCGAATTATCAGAGTTTGAATTATCGCGAGTCTACTGTATATGGCCTTAAGGAAACAGGTACAGCAGCGTGTGTGCCTATTGTAATGGGTTACTGGTTTTAAACCACGAAGTCAGTATGATAATCACTTGTTCTGATGCCCGATTGCAATGGGCGCTTGTACCACACATTATTACTGAAATATTTCATGTTGTATTGTGAAGCATGTATACAGGGCGCATTTGTTTGTAAAGCATGTGTTACTTTCACCGCATTTCCAAGCAGAAGAAGTTATTTTCAAGGCATTCAACAGCAGATGCATGACCATATGGTAGAACATTTGCTTGCCACGCAAATGACCTGGGTTGTATCCCCATTGTGACCCAGGATTTTTTTATATTTATCTTATTTGCATCATTCTCGACTTTTGTTGGTAAAGCTTAAGATGATGATTTTTCGCCCACAACCAATGACGCCGACGCCAGAATTTCTGCAAAACGAGCTCTTTAACACAGTCGCGTTAAAAGTGGGCATTTGCATTGTGTAATGTCCTCCATAAAGTAGCACAAACTAACAATACCAAAGTCCGTGTCGGTTTTCTTCTGCTTTCTTGTCTGTAGTGCTTACGCTTCATGGAGAAAGACTGGTTACATGTTTGTGACTTCTTTATAATGGCACTTGTCAGCAGCTTGAATCTGAGCACACATTTTTCCCTTGCTTGGAACAGATCGCACTCATGGACAGCAGTTCCAGAAGGACTTTGACGAAGCAACCCGGTGTCTTGAGGAGTACATAAAAGCATTGGAGAAAGAAGTGGCAGAGCGAAATGAGCTTATCAGAATGCTGGAAGACGCCAAGGTCTACTATGACAGCCAGAATGGGGAGGCTCGGATCGTGGCGTCGGTGAGTGTTCAAGCTGTTTCACTGGATGGAACTTTTCTATAGTTCTCTATGCTGCTTGAACCTTGCTGCTAGTCAAGTGAATGAGTTATTCATCTTTGCAGCCATGTAGCTCTGAGACGCTTGAGTATAGCTTCGGTTAAAGCATCCTCGAGGGGCAGGATGTATCGGTCGACACAGTGTTTTGTGAAAGCATGAGGGTCTTACTAGATTGACCACATTTAGTTTTGGCCATATTGGTTGCTTCAGTAGCGTAAGAATATAAGTTTTCACCTTTTAATGAAATGTGGCACAGTGTTTAGGAAGCTGCATATAATACCGTATTTACTCGCATAATAGGCGCACTTTTTTTTTTCAGAAAATCCGGCTCGAAGTTAGGGGTGCGCCAATTACGCGGGATAAAATTTTCTAAAATTTTTTCAACTCGGTTCTCGCGCTTTAAATCTGCACACTTGTCAAGTAAAAAGAAGTCCACCACTTTGTCCTCATATGCTGCGGGCAAGCGCTGGCACAAGGTGGTCCGCCTTCGCAGTGCGAGGCCATGGCGCCGCATGAAACGAGTTGTCCATCCGGAGCTGGCTTTGAACTCTTTTGCTTCGATGCCCTGCGCTCGGGCTATTCTGCGCGCCTCAGTCTGCACAATATCCAACGACACAGCACAGCCGTCTTGTCGTAGCTCCCGTATATGCCGGACCAGTTGCTCTTCGACGTTCGGATACCTGCCGGTCTTGGCACCGCGGAAAGCCCGTCGTGTCTTCTTCGTCGCCTTAAGTTTTTCTTCTTGGTCCCTCCAGTACCGAATACTGGTTTCTCCAACGCCGAAATGCCTGCTTGCAGCCCGGTTTCCATGCTCCAGCGCGTACTGCACTGCCTTCAGTTTAAACCCAGCCGTGTAGCTCGCGTACTTCCCCATGGTGGAACCAAAGTTCAATACACGACCACAACATACGCACACCGCTTGCAAAATGGTGTTTCTTTCTTTTTCTCTGATGGTGGTGATGGCGATCGAGCCCCCGGCGTTGTACACGTGACCTCCAAAAAGCGCGACGATTTGGGGGGTATCAGTAATTGATCGAACAGCCGTTTTTTTTTTTTCGCTCATGGACGCATTTTTTTTTTTTTTCAAGTTTTATTTCGACAAACAAGTTGGTTAGGTCGTTGCACTTCGAATTTTTTTTATTTGTTCGTCGATTTGCCTTCTTTTTTTCTTCAGGGTACGGGGACCGCGTTCCAACTGTACCGCTGGGGGGTAGAATCGTTTCTGATCACGGCCAAGTTCGGGGTGCGCCTATTATGCGCGGAATTAAAACAAATCGAATTTTCCCTGACCAAACTAGGGGTGCGCCTATTATGCGAGTGCGCCGATTATGCAAGTAAATACGGTACATACGAGGTTTGCATTTTATATTCTGACAAAAAGCATTTTTCAGAAGTCAGTGTTTTTTTGTCACAATAAATAGAAATGACATACTCTTTTTTTTTTTGCGATTTTAGAGCTCTAGCATTGCCTCTTATAAAGTATATTCAGGACTGTGATGAAATTTGAAGTTTTTTAGTGCTTATGTCCTTTATTTCCTTTTATATGTTACTGCACACTGCGCAGAAAATTTGCAATTAAGCAGACTCGGCTTTTACCAGCTGGCCCAGATTTTTTTGCCCTGGTAGCCTGCTCACTGTGTCTTGATATTTAGTTTTTAAGAAAAACTTGGGCTGTGTTGTAGTACCGTCAAACCGGAATATAGTGTGAACAGAAATATAGGTCGACCCCCCCAAACTTCGAACCTCCGAAGAAATTAAAGAAAAAATCGCGAAGTTTCACAGTGCACCCTCATTATGGTAAGTACGTGACACAACCAGCTGCACTGTGAGGACATTTGTTTTTTTTATTTGGACACTAATCTTGTGTAGTTGAACATCGTAAGGCCACAGAGTGCTGTCACTCAGGCTCATCCGAGCTTGAGTCCGGCGACGTGTTTCCAACTATTAACGTCCCAGAGTGCATCGTCCTCCATTCCATCCAATGCGTTACTGATGCGGCATTTGCAGAAAGACCGAAGTACGCCCCCTCAGCGCAAAGCCCTTCTGCTTCAATAATCAATGCACCTACGTTGGCGATCCCTTAAGTTGCATCCTTGTGAGCCCAGAGTCGAGTGCTATCTTGAGAGCTTTCACGTGGATGCACTCCGCTGTTATGGGTAGCGACCTTGCACGCAGCTCCCGGATGAATTCGGTGAGTAGCGTTTCCAGTTCGTGGTGCACTTTAGTCCGTCCATGGAACGATTTTTTCTTGTTGTTGTTGTTGCTGCAGGATGGGATGCACGGCTTTTGGCTCCTCCAGTATTGGATACTTTCCTTCGATGCACTGAATTCTTGTTGGGCCGCCAGGCTGCTGTGCACTTCGACATATCCGATAACTTTTTTCTCAAAACCTTTTGTAAACTGCCATCAACTACTACTCATTTTTGAAGAAAAAGAAAACAGACTGACAGCAGATAGCCGAGGCGAAAATTGGGGGACCCTCAAGCTTCGCCCAAGAGTTGAACGGGGTGGCGAAATCCGGCCCTAGCACACCCTTCAACCGCTAAGTGTACTTATTCTAAGTACATACACATGCACGCACACAAACACGCACAAAGTAGATTGGACCAGCGCGCGCTATTATCGCCGAATAAGCTCGTTTTTGTCGTGACACCTGTCGAACAAAATGCGTTAAAGGTGCCTTGAAACGCTTTTTCAAGTAACCGTAAAATGAATTCACTAGAAGAGCTTATTGCCTCACGAATTCAACGCCACAAAAATTTTAAGAATTCGTCCAGTGCGAGTGGAGTTGCAAAGGTTTGTCGCATGCTGCAATTCAATTATTTCTTTTCTTGTCCCGACGAAAGCGCTGGAAGCTAAGCAGGGAGGGGTGGCAGGGCGAAGAAACTACCTCACCTCGTGACCTTGAGCACTTTTTTTCTTCGAACGCGTAGCTTTTTCAGTGTGATCGCTGTGGCGGACAAGTAGCGGCTTCTTGTGGCTATCTTGGTAACTTGATTTTTCGGTCACAGACACCCAGACGATTTTTCGCTCACTACCAACGGGGCCGACGCCGACGGCCGGTTTTCTGCGACACGAGCTCTTTAACGCTTTCGCGTTAAAAAGGCATTACTAGAACATTGTAGGCCTTGTCTAACCTTGCCCACCGGCGTCGTTGCTAATTCTTACGATGACAATTGAGGCTTTCGACTTCTACTGCCCATTGTTTCAAAACTTCCGCATTTTTTTCTGCCAATGATCAGTGTGTATAAGACGAGGGTTGACTTTTCATTGTGTTTAAAAAAAAGAAAAAAAAACATTCGACCTGTATTCTGGTTTTCATGGTAGCCTTGGTACTTTGGTATGCAACACCAACGCCTCCAAGAAAATTTATGCCTGGAACGTCGCTCTCTTTTCAATTGGGAGCTTCCTGCCAGCTCGCAATATCGAAGGCCATGCCCCCCGTCGCGTGTTGCAACCATCCAGTAATGTTGCGACCGTACGGTAATGTCACATGACCGAGCGGTACCAAGGCCCATCTCCGTACCACTCAGTCATGTGACATTACCGTGCCGCCCTGTCACGGGACATCACAGCTGCTCGAAGGCAACTGTGAGAGCATTGCTGTGTGCGCAGGGGGGCGGCTGCCAGAGGCGTTTGCCTTCAGCACCGGATGGGAATGGTAAAATAAGAAGGTTAGGGCAGCACATTCGCGGCTCACGTTCCAGGCGTAATTTTTTTAGGAGGCATTGGTAACACTTAAAGAGACACTAGTAACTTGGGGGAGGAATTGCAACTCATGATTACGGAGTTAGAAAGGAGAGCAGAAAGGTGCGTCTTAAAAATTAATCTGCAGAAAACGAAAGTAATGTACAACAACCTTGGAAGAGAGCAGCACTTCGAGATAGGTAATAGTCCACTTGAATTTGTAAAAGACTATGTCTACTTAGGACAGGTAATAACCGCGGAGCCGAACTATGAGATTGAAGTAACTAGAAGAATAAGAATGGTATGGAGCAAATTTGGCAGGCACTCTCAAATCATGACAGGTAGATTGCCACTATCCCTCAAGAGGAAGGTATATAACAGCTGGATCTTGCTGGTACTTAGCTACGGAGCAGAAACCTGGAGACTTACAAAGAGGGTTCTCTTTAAATTGAGGACGACGCAGCGAGCAATGGAAAGAAAAATGGTAGGTGTAACCTTAAGAGACAAGAAGAGACTAGAGTGGATTAGGGGACAAACGGGGGTTAAGGGTATCGTAGTTGAAATCAAGAAGAGGAAGTGGACATGGGCCAGGCATGTAGCGTGGAGACAGGATAACTGCTGGTCATTAAGGGTAACTAACTGGATTCCCAGAGAATCTAGTGGCTAAGGTACTCGGCTGCTGACCCGCAGGTCGCGGGTTCGAATCCCGGCTGCGGCGGCTGCATTTCCGATGGAGGCGGAAATGATGTAGGCCCGTGTGCTCAGCTTTGGGCTCACGTTAAAGAACCCCAGGTGGTCGAAATTTCCGGAGCCCTTCACTACGGCGTCTCTCATAATCATATGGTGGTTTTGGGACGTTAAACCCCACATATCAATCAGAGATGGCAAACGGGGTTAGGGGGAAAGAAGGCTAAGTGGGCAGATGAGATTAAGAAGTTTGCGGGTATAAATTGGCAGCAGCAAGCACAGGACCGGGTTAACTGGCGGAACATGGGAGAGGCCTTTGTCCTGCAGTTGACGTAGTCAGGCTGATGATGATTATTGTTGCACAAAAGTGATATTTTCGGGGCAAAGCTCCTCAAGGTCGAGGCTTGTCCGTTGGTGGTGTTGCTGTGCGTCATAGCCGTGATGAGGATAAAGATGATGACGATGACGATCATGGACAGCGACTGGCTTGTGCAGTATATGGCGTCTTGATATGCTTTACGATGCATTTTGTATGACTGGAAACAACCAACAACCACCAGGGGAACGTGCACAGACCTTGTCTTGGCCAACTTCAGGCCAGATTCGATACCACATAGTAGTAATAATAAAGGCAAAACGAAATTCACAACTCAACACAACATACCAGTTATGATCAATAAGCATTGTATATAAGCACTTTGTCACTCATTTACATGCACGAGCGGTGAATGTCATGGGTGATTTGTGGTAACGCCCAACGATCCTTCACCCGCTCATCATCATTAATTTGGTGGATATGCCGTTTGCTTTTTGTATTGTGAGAAGGGGGTTACTTGAAAAAACAAGAATTGTTTTTTCTTTTGGTGTCCCTTTAATAGTTGCATACTGGGGTGTCGCACAATACAGTTCAATACAGAAAAAAAAATCGTAAAAGGTCCCAAATTAGCTGGCATCTAGTTCGAAAATGTTATTTTCATATATACCTTATTGTTGAACTCTCTGAGATGAACTACAGTCGACTCCTGATAATTCCAAGTTGCTTATTTGGGATTGTCGCTTAATTGTAAGTGGAATGAAGGTTCCATCAGTTGTTCATGCAATTAAATAGAAAGAAATGCTCGGTAATTAGAATCTAGAAGTCTGAAATTTCGGGTAATTCAAATTTTAATCGAATTCCGGAGAAAATTGTAATAATATTTAAGAAATTTGCTAGTTTTAAAGTGTGGAATAATGATGTCTGTGCGGCCGGCACTCAAGGGCATCGCAGCTGACCAACAGCGCCACAGTTCAACACTTCCTTCAGCTTACCGGCGCTGTTGGCATTGCAATTGCTTACAGCGCCTCAGGCCTTAAAGCGGTGAAGGCAATTCTGCGAGCAACCTGTGCAGTGACAATGGCTGTAAGCAAGTGCTGGGCCTAAACGCTTGTCTCATTGAGCAGACAGCGTTTCCATGTGAAACAGAGCTCTACGTGTATTCCAGGTGCGTCACGATTATGGCAATTCGCAGGCCCTATCGGATGCTAGACTTGGTGACGGAAGTAAAGATTTTGAAAGAAGTGGAAGTAGGAGGCTCTGCCAAGCAAGATATTGCCAGGAAATACGGCCTAATAGCCTGTCAAACATTCTAAGAGCAAGCGCTCGTTGCTGGACGCATTTGAAAATGACCAGTTTAAGTTGCCTTCAAAATGACCGGTTTAAGAGCATGCGCACTGGCGCCCACCCAGAGTTGGAGCAAGCGTTGCTCGTCTGGATTCGGGAGGCGCGAAGCAACCGACTTCCGCCCAGCGGCGAGATCGTTGCAGCGAAAGCCTCATCACTTGCAACCATGCTAGGCTTCAAGAACTTCGCTTCATCCGATGGATGGCTTACACGCTTTAAGCAATGCCATGATACGGTGTTTAAAAGTGTGAATGGAGATAGGGCTGCTGTCGATGCGGCAACATGTGCTATGAGGAGTGAAGATAAGCTTCGGGAATACTTGGATGAATATTAGCCCCAAGATATCTTCAATGCCGACGAGAGAGCACTATTTTACAGAATGTTGCCAGAGAAGACGCTGACCTTTACAGACGATGACTGCGCTGGAGGTAAGCAGAGCAACGAAAGAGTGTCAGTTCTGATGGCGGCCAACATGACGGGCTCTGAGCGATGTCGTCTGCTTGTAATCGGCAAAGCCGCTAAGCCTAGATGTTTCAAGGGTGTGAAGGCATTGCCTGTAGAATATGCGTCTAACAGGAAAGCGTAGATGACGGCGGACATATTCAAGGATTGGCTGATGAAATTGGATCGCAAGTTCGCGTTAGCGAAACGCAAGGTGTTACTGCTTGTGGACCAGCGCTGTGCACACATGAAGGTGCCGCCCTTGAGGGCCATCTGTTTCGCTCACCTGCCAGCGAACACTACATCAGTGTTGCAACCTATGGACAAGGGAATTTAAACGTGAAAGTACTTTATCCGAAACAGCTTCTTGAGTGGATGCTGTTGTGTATGGGCGATTGAACTCATTATGAGGTGAGCCTTCTCAGCGGTATACATACGCTGGTGCGAGCGTGTGGTTGCGTGAAGGACGAGACCATCGCGAACTGCTTTAGAGCGTGCAATTTCGTTGCAAGCGCTGCAGATGATTCGTTTTGTATAGCAAGGGAAGCAGACACAGGTGAGATTGAAGTTGACAGTTTCGTGCCAGCTCTCGGCAACGTCCATTTCGAAGAATATGTTGCTACTGACAGTGCTGTAGAAACGTGCGGTGCGTTGACGGATGCTGAGATCGCTGAGATGGTTCGGCCTGCGAGGATAGTCACGAAACTGGGGTGGACGACAACGACGTTGCAAGTGAGCCACAACCATGAGCTGTTGATGTAGCCGTGGGCCTTGCCCTTGTGCAGCGGTTTTTTTGCTGCTGAGAGCAACGCCGAGGAAGCTTTTGGGCATATATATAGATTTCAAGACTTTCTTTCTGCTGCAAGATTTAGCAGGCAAAAGCAAACTGCAATCGCCGATTTTTTTCGTAAACGGCTTTGAAATAAATGTATTTTTCATTTGTCGCGATTCGCTGGAATTCCATTTAATCAGAAGTTTTCGGCGGTCTCGTGAACTTTGTATTAACAAGAGTCGTCTGTATTTCTGTGAGCCTTGCTTGGTAAATGGTAGGAGAGTGCAGTCCAACACTGTATGACCCATTGGAGCACTAGAGAATGTACGGGCTGCCTACACATTGTGTATGTATGCAGGCATACAAGAACTTTGGCAATCGAGTGAAAGCATTGAAGAAGAAGCTGGAGGCAAAAACAAAGACGCTGCCAAGCCCGGTGCCGTCACCTACCCCAGATGCGCCTTCTCCAACCAACTCTGATGATGGCCTGCAGTTACCTGCAATACAGGAGACAGGTATGCTTGTCACATTTGTAAAGATGCAGTGCATCAAAGTACTTACTGTATTTGCTGCTGTGGGGCAGATTTGTCATGTTGTAAAAGAAAAGTTGCTAATAACAACTATACTTTACCTTTCGTTCAAGCCTACGAGGTCATAGACGTAGCAAAGGCAGGGACTTTAAGTAATGCTGTTTCATACCTCGAATGACTTTTCATACCTGGAATGACTTCGGCGTCTGAAAAATCGGACGCTGAAGAGTCGTCGAAATTTTCAGATGTTCTTAAACATAGACGTCGATAGGGCGTGTGATGCTGCTGTGAAATGCTTTGAAATTGCAAGCATGTGAGAAAAGTCTGACTTCCGAAAAATCGGCAGTCAACTGATCTTCAGTCTTGTTATAATGATGTGCTATGGTTTTAAATTTCTTCATTGGCTTTGTGTAATAAGTATGGTGAGGTTATCTGTTGGTGATATAATTTACTTTTCTTTTTTACTCTATTATGTTTAAATAGCGTGTAGCACACTGTAATTTTAGGATTTGTGTGTCTTTCTCTCGAGGCTAGAACAGAACAGTTCTGTTCTGAGGAAGACAAGATCGCTTGTCGGAACGTCGGCTCGACACAACCGCTGTTTACGGATTTCTTCGTGAACACAATATGTATGTGTCTTAAAATTGACTCTAGCAATATCTGCTCTGAAATCCGGTCTTGCTGCTCCCAAACTTATTTTTGTCAGCTCCAAAAGCTGCTTCGAAGCAGCCTAAGCCAGTAGCATCACTGCATTAGTTGAATGAGGGTAGGCTTTAAATTCCACCCGTTTTATTGTTGTCGATGAAGACAGCATAATACAAAAAAAAAAAAAAGAGGCAAAGTTGCTGCATGGGACAACAATATCTGTGACTGAATCCAGCAACGCTGGTATTAAAGTTCAGAGTCTCATGCAGTACTTTAAGATGTCGGAGTTCTGTCATCCACTCCAGCCTTCAACAGTGTGCTTTTACACCTCACTAGAAAGGATTGAGTTACTGACCAGTGGTCTTTTATTCATGAGAACTTACAGACAATAATGCCAGGGAAAGTATAGTGGTCGTTATTAGAAGTAATTGTAATATAAATGTGAAGGAAGGAAAAGAACGAAAAAATAACTTGCCATAAGCAGGATCCTAACCTGCGACTTCGAATAATGAATTAGATGCTTTACCACTGAGCTAGGGCGGGGGTCATTCCTCTGTCTACTTTATAGGGCATATATGTGATTTAAACGTGGGCGCTTCAGTCAGCACTACCTGTTGCCATTGCAGTGAGCGTGGAATAGAGTAACGACTGGTATGCTTTGAGGTGGTATGCGAGGGATTGGATTTTTGGTCAGTTGCCATCTCAAAATAAGATCACATACTACGTGATGCCAAAGCAGACAAAATGAGTGTTCCACGCTCGCCACAAATTGCAGTAGGTGGTGCTGACTGAAGCTCCCACATTTAAATGCACGTAGTATATACCCTATAAAGTAGATGGAGGCATGACCGCCACTGTAGCTCAGTTGTAGAGCATTGGACGTCTTATTTGAAGGTCGCAAGTTTGGATCCTGCTGGTGGCAAGTTATCGTTTCGTTCACTTTCCTTTCTTCACGTTTACGTTGCAATTACTTCTAATAGCAACCCTTATACTTTCCCTGGCATTATTGTCTGTTGGTTTCATTAAGGGGGCAGACTCATCTTAGACATTTTTTTGTTTATTTATTCAGTGATCTTGATAAAACTGCTCTGTGTAATGCTGTCTTTTCTGCTGGTTTCAAAAATTTAATTACTCTTCCTGTAACTTGTTTCTAAGTTAACTCAAGTTCACCCCCTATGGTTTAAGGCCACCATAGAAAAAAAGTGCTGAATTAAAACTGATATTTAAAATATGCCAACATGGGACTAATGACTAGAGATTGAAAGTATGCAAGAGTTCTTTGTTTTTAGGCCTTTCTTGATTATTTTACAGCAAAATGAACTATCCATTTTCAACAGCAGTTGGAATTGTGTTACAATTTTGATGAGTAATTAATTAAAAATAAAAAGGCTTGTGCTCTAAATTCTGCTCACATACTTGCATCGTACACACATACTAGTACTAGACTCGCGATAATTCAAATTTTCGGTTGATTCAAACAAAATTCAATTTTTCGGTTGGCCTTCTATTCTTTCAATGTATTCAAAAGCCTCTTAATTCAAACTCCATCGTTTGGTTCTTTCATACTTTTTTTTTGCAGTTCCATGCGAGAAATTATCTGCTGCTTTCCCACTACTGCTTAAAATTTGAAAGCGTAACAGTTGAAACCCTAACAGTCTACAAATGAAAAATAAGCACCTCGGGCCTCAAGGAAAAAGGCTTTGCTAGTAAACAAATGTTTGAAACAAAGCACATCCATGGTAAACCGTGATGCTTCTCAACTGGTATAGAGAGTTTTGTGCTAAAGGTGCATGTCCATAGCATAGAAGCAGTTGGCTATTCACGATTTCTTTAAAAGGTCTGATCAGCAGTAAATGGCTACTAAACTCGTGGACCTTACACCTCTGCTTTCTCCTCATGAAGTGCAGTTAAGGTTTAAAAATACTTAAAAAATTTTGAAATGTGATAAAATCAATGCCTAATCACAATGTGAGGTGTCACCTCACTTGGAGTCATCTATCTGAGAACTGATAATTCAAATTTCTTGATAATTCAAATAAAATTCAGAGGTCCCTTCAAGTTTGAATTAATAAGAGTCGACTGTACAGGTTTTTTTACAAAAAGAATTATTGTTGTACCTGCCCTAGCTGCAGAGATATTGAGGCCTCAAAATTGAGCAGTCGTAAATTTACATTTTTGAGAAAAATGGAAAGAACTGATAACACACAGCTTCTTCAAAAAGCCACAATCATTGTGTGCATGTTTCGCAATGCCCATAAAGATGCTCATAAATTGGTAGCAGAGCTTCTAACACAGGTGCTGGCAAATTATAAAGAAGCCTCGAAGTTGGTTCCCCGTTTTTGGCAGGTTCTGCTTGTTGACGGCACCTAGAATCTGGACAGTTAGAATGACATTAAAAAAAAAAATTATCTCTTTCTGGTGCGTGAAAATTTGCAGATATAGAAACATACTTCTAAAAACCGAATATGTCAATTTTAAGAAATTGATTTTTTGTCACTTCTTGGTCTCAAAGACTAGTCTGCCGCCTCCTTAATACTGTGTCTAACAAAGAAAACTAGCCCTTAAATTTGCACTTCCTTCTGAACAGTGGTCTGGTACTTTATATATGTATGGAGTCCCCCCACTCTTTTTAAATTACATTGTCTTTTTTTTTTTTTTCTAGCTGAATATTCAACACCTGATGCAGAGGTGGAGGCTCCACTTATGACGGACAATGGTGCTGTGATCGATTCACCCTGCTCGGCTCCATCGCCTGGCTCAGCTCCGTCTCCTGAGGGTTCCCCTGTGGGGCTGAGCCCTGTCATCCCAGGAACTGGGGGGGACTCTGGCACAACCAGCAATGCTACTGGCAATGCTACGGCACTCAGCAGCTTCATGTCCCAAAGTGAGCAAATTCAGTCGTTTTGTATGAGGCCATTCGCTTTGCATCCATCCATGTTAACACCAGTGCCTAATACGATTTCACTTTCATTCGTGGGGTACTCAATGCCTAGTCCACATTAAGCTTAGTGGCATCAGCCGACATTGGACTGCTCTGAACATGTGATTACTGGTGTACTGTTTGGACATCAGGATAAGATGTTGATATAAGTCATGGAGGCCTTTCACGGAAGAATCTCATCCTAATAAGCTTTTTTACTATAGTTGCAGCCTTCAAGAGAAGTGGAGTCCACTTATCAAAGTGTCGACTCCAGCGATTCGCTTGTGTCAGACAAATGTCAGTATCATTGACATTGTTTTATATTTGGTAGACTTCCATTCATAGCACTCGCATGCTTAGTCTAATATTTGTGGCTGTTCCTAGATTTGATCGCTGATTGGGCATGATTACTGCTGTCTGCCTGTTTCGTGTGCAGTGAAACAGCAAGTCAATCTTGGTTTTCTTGCTGCTAACTTTTTGAATGCATATCGCATTAAATGCTGAGTGGCATTGTCAGAAGAAACCTTCAGCTGCTGTCTCAGCGCGTTAAACAATTACCTTTGCCTCTGAAACAGCAACTTTGCACCTACATGTTCAACCGACATCAAGGAAGTCGTGTTTACTCTAAGAACAGGTGTGCGGCAAAGTTAGTGCTGTCAAAGAAGGAAAAGACTAGGCTTGTGCGAATATCCAAATGCTTCGAATATTTAAACAAGTTGTAGAGTATTCGAATTCGTTTTGATTTGAATTTAAATTATTAAAAATTTCAAAGTATTCACAATGAACGAATAAATCTATATTAGTTTGTACGTAACCCCCCTGTAAAGGTAATTTCACTTCTGTGTAAGAGGGCTAAACCGTGAAAGCACTTACGCAGAGAAAGTTCGCCCTGTAACACTTTTCGAGCAAGGTCAGAAAACACTGCCGATCGGTAGTCGATGCTACCGAGAACACGACGCGAGCAAAATATTATATGGCAGCATGCGGCCTGCAATTCACAATGAATTTTCAGTCTGCTAAAAATTGTTCGCTTCTCTTGGCAAATGACGCCAAAACTAAAAAAAAAAAAAAACACTCATCAGAGTCATTGTATCAACCATTGGGTGATTTGAACATGGCGCGCTCGATTGTTACTGGGGCCGCCACAGGAGGCCATGAATTGTCTACACGTATGTGAGCAATCGCATTGTAAAGTGGCGTATTCAAAAAAAAAAAAAAGGAAAAAGAAAAAAAGAGAGAGAAAGTTCCGAAGATTATGAGGAGCGTGTGACATATTTTATTTCCCCGTGCCATTCCTCCTTGCTTAGTTTCCAGCGCTTTCGTTGGGACGAGAACAGAGCATGTGATTGCAGTGTGTGACGTATCTTTGCGACTCCTCCTGTACTGGACTGATTGTAAAAGATTTTGTGGCGGTGAAGAATTCGGGCTTCTTTAGTGAATTCGTTTCATGGCTGCTTGAAGTGTTGCTGGGCTCTTTAATCCATATATGCCCAGTGTCCTACATGTAGGACGCTGAAACTTAACTCGAATGTTTTTTCTGTAAAAAAGGTAGCGCTACCTAAAGTGTGTTTGCGATGCCCTGTCCTCGTCACATGCAAGTCTAGGGGATTATGGGCTACAAATAGCCACGTGGTTGCAGTCACAAAATGGCTATTTTTCGTGTGTTAAGCTGAGCGCCATACCGAGAACAAAATATATAATTAATATAAAGTTAAATTGTTCTCGATGCTGCTAATATTGTCGCGGGGTCGTGATGTGAACAAAGGGAGCAAACTTCTCGTCGAAGAAGAAACTGTTTATTTGGGCCGAACTTTTGGCTACACAAAAGGAAACTAAGACACTGGCACTGATCGCGACGAACAGATTGTTGGCCGTCGATCAACTGACAAGCGGCGAAGCGTATCGGCATTTATACACTTGCCATCGAACATTCTAGCGTTATCGCTACTGGCAACGTAGGTTCCAGAATAATCTGGAATGTTCAGGAAGTGGGCGTAACCTTAACAAAACGATCTACTACAGCCTTGAAGCTTCTCTAACATCTTAGGCGTGATTTTTGCGCTGAACATAGTGTAACGGGGCGATAACAAAACTTGAAGAAAGGAACGTGGCTTTGCCCCCCTCTGAAAAGGCATCGTCCCAATGCTTTTACAGATTAAATTAATGCAAGAAAGAACAAGCAATAAAATACGATAGAGCAATAACAACAACAACAAGAAAATACACTGTTTCAGTTGGTTAAGGGGGGACGCGGCACTTAAAAGCCGAAAATTGGGCCAAAAATCGCATTTTCGCTCTCATTATTTTCGCGTTCACGATGCCCTTCCGCACCTATCAGCAAAGTTTGGCTTCGAAATTCTACTTATTTCTCAATAAATAAGTAGAACCCATAAAGAAAGCAACTTCACGCAAACGGATCTTTAAATTGAAGTGTAAACTAGCCGTATTTCAACCGCTGACGGCACGCGAACTACGCGCTCGACCACCGCCATTTTGGTCCTGTTGGAAAGGTGTATTTATAGCTTTTTTCTCTTTTCTATAGACAACTATGTGCTCATTACAAAAGCAAAAAAAGCGAAGTCAAAATCATGCGCAAAATCATGCGCAGCGCATGATTCTATGGGGTGCTTGTCGCATGTGACCAAAATGGCGCTTCTCGATTGGCCAGGAAAACTCGCTGGCGGTGTCTGCCCCCATTTTGAAAGGGTACCGCCCTTGCGAAGGTGTTGTGACTCGTATCCTTAACGTGCTTGTGCGTCTCGCTATGCCTGGCGGTGCGAAAAAGTTACAATCGCAGCATCATTTTCGCCGTTCACGAAAGAAAGGCAGAAAGCCCATTTGCTACTGTGTTGCGGTAGCAAGCGCCGATGTTGTTTGATAACGCCGTCTTGATGACGTCGTCGTAACCGAAGATGGTTCCTCGTGCGTGCGCGGCGTGGACACTGGCCGCCCGTGTACTGATGATGTTATGAATAGAGAAGTGTGTGAGACAGCTCCTGCGGCAGTGGACGCTCTGTGAATTATGATCGCGCTGATGCTGTTGGCAACGGTGAAGAGCGCGTAGACACGGGCCTCCCTGGCAGCGCGCGCTATGTTAACTCCGGCTGTGGTTGGGTATGCACATATGTAATCGATGCCAGTGAAGTTTGCGAGGCGCGCGCTCGCAAGACAACCACAACGCTTGAGGGTCTTTCGTCGGTGTCAGCAACAGTGCGAAAAATTTAGCGCTTTTCGGAGTCAAGTGGTGCGGCAGCGAGCCAAGATACCAGCAACGCAAGACTGAAAATTCACACGAAAGCCTCTAATCCGTGATTTGGAGTTTGGCATCAAAGGAGCAGCACGCTTCTTTTTTTGCTGTGCAAGCTGCTGCTGCAGAAGCTGTGCTGTGCTTCAACACGAGCAATGTCAATAAATTTGCTGTTATTCTAGAGCAGCTGGACATCACGATATTCTGCAGCACAACCCTAAGGGCTAGGGAAAACTGTCGTCAGAGTGCAACCTCAAATAAACAGGGAGAAAGCATCCCAGTGTCTGAGAAAACTGGTCATGAAGAACCGTAAGGATGGGGATGCAACCATATTATGCCCCTGGTGGATTTTCATTAGATTTTTAGTATTTTGTCAATAAAGGGGTTTTGAAACGTTTCTTCTCGTTTTCTCAAAACAACATTTTTGGCACATTTGCCAAGTTGTAGGGAAATTAACTTCTCTTCCATTCGAGCTATCAGCATAATTCTTTTTTGCCAGAAAGATAAATGGATGCAGTATGCAATATGCCTATTTTGAAGGCCATATACAGACCAAAATGTTTTAATTGGGTCACATGCGTGACAGGTGAAGGTGGCTTGTTTTTCTCTGAACATTGATGTTCTCCAACTCCTGTTGAAATTGGCCCAGCAAATTGATTTATAGCATATTGCACTCCTTGAACATCCTACATTGTTTCTACATTGCTGTCAATGTTTTGGTGCTTCTTGCTTAACAAAGGACCCAGGTTTTACATTGATTGTGAAGTATCTTAGAAACTACTTGACCTATCAAAAAAGTAATTTCATTTTTAGAATCTGCACATCTAAATAAACATTCTGTGACAGTTTTGTTCAGATCTGTGCATAAATAAAAATGTTGTCCATCAAGTGTAGCCTCCCCCCTTAACACGCATGAAATGGCCTGAGGCGTGCGACATGAACGACTTCAGGTCGCGATCGGCGTCGTTGAGAGTTCGTGATGCCGTCGGGGACAACCTCGTAATCGAGTGGGCCTAGACATCCAATTACCCTGTATGGTCCAAAATACCGTCGCAGAAGTTTTTCACTGGGTCCACGTCGGCGTATCAGCCTCTATACCCAAACACTTTCACCGGGCTGGTATTCCACGAAGTGTTGTCGAAGATCTTGACGGCGGCAATCTGTCTGTCAGTTCTTGATACGGAGGTGAGTGAGTTGTCGGGCTTCTTCGGCACTGAAGGTACTCGCTCACATCGAGGTTTTCTTCATCGGTGACGTTGGGTAACATGGCGTTGAGCGTCGTTGTCGGGGTCCTTCAGTAGACCAACTTGTACGGCGTCATCTGCATTGTTTCTCGTATGGTGGTGTATGCGAACTGCTCATACAGAAGGATGGCATCCCACGTTTTGTGTTGACGACGTATATGGCCAGCATGGAGGGGATGGTCTTGTTTAGGCACCTGGTGAGGCCATTGGTCTGTGGGTGGTATGACGTCGTACGGCAGAGGCTTACCCGGCTGTATGCCAAAATCGCTTGGGTTAGCTCAGCAGTAAATGCCGTACCTCTATCGGTGATGAGGACCTCCGGAGCGCCGTGACACAAGACAATGTTTTCGACCAAGAATTCGGCTACCTCAGATGCACTATTCTTGGGCAGGGCTTTTGTCTCGGCGTAGCGGGTAAGGTGGTCGGTAGCTACGACGATACATTGTTTCCAGAATTCGGCGTCAGAAATGGCC